CATCCAAGCGCAGCTCGTCCGTGGTGAACAGCCTTGAACATTCCTGTTCCCGGGTTTTGACGACTAATCCAAATCTCTTTGTTGTTGCCTTGCGATTTTGCATCTGCTTTCATAATTAACACCATAAAATTATTGCGGTCGCCACCTTGAAGGCAGTTTACAATGAGAATTTAGCTCATTGGAATTGAGGGTAGAGGTGGTCAGTGGAGCATAGATGAAGACGAATTCCTGTGCAATGGAGCGAAACCTGAAGCGAATTCCTGCGAAAAAAATGGTACCCCTTCCTTCCCCGTTGATTTGCGCATTCATGCGACTCTCATCGCTGTGCCCTCTTTAACATTACGCGCAGGGTCAAGCGTTGAGGATTTCCCAATGGCACGTTGGAGATTCTCTGCCCGATCGGAGACGTCCTCTCGCGCGGACATTCACACTCGCCTGTGCGAGCCGTCTGTGCTCTCCGCGCGTACGTTCACTCTCGGCAGTGAGCGTGAGTCATCGTTGAGGAAATCTTCAACGCTCTCTCTGCTATCTGATCACTTGCCACGTATAGAACTGCGGCGGCGGTGATTAGATTGTCGGTGAGCACGCACCGCCAACCGCGCGAAGGAGTGAGCCATGCTGGTTCGCCAAGGTCAAATCTTTCGCTGCCAATTGCGCGTCGGTGAGCATCCTCAGGATTTGCGCTTGCCTCCCACCTATGCAATTTTCCCCTTCATTGACCTTAGTTCTCATAGTGAATTCCTCCTTCAATCTCAGCTTTCAGCCGCTTTTTTTGGATTGGTCATATACATATCTTATTTCTTGCATCCTTGCGATAACGACAGCATTGCAGTTGCAAAAGTTGATTTAAATAGAAAAAACGAAGACACCCTCATGATACGCTTGGAATTCCATGACATACTATGGAATCTTGCTGGCCTTATAACTGACAATGAGGCCTCCACGTCTTCAATCCTTCAAATCGATTCAGCTTCGGCGTAATGTATTTACTCTAGGCTAAATCAACTATCCAACTATTTGATTGGCATTGTGAACGTGACGGCTTATACTATTATGTTCACCACAATGTTCATCAAAGGAAGTCTTACCTTCAAAACCAACAGTGAAATAAGAATGACGGCGCAGGTAAGACTTTGGAAATTGAGACTTTTTGAAAGCTTCATTCAAGTGTCAATCAAACAGTATTCATTCTACATTGATCTATTCCATGGATGGCTCCTTCGGCTCGCAATTGTCGAGGCACTTGAATGCACATTGACCTATGTGTAGGTCCACCCTATGTGTAGCCCTGACCTATGTGTAGGTCCCGCAAATTACTGCTATCATCCTTTCAGACAGCTTCGATACTGATTGGAGATAATATACCTACTCAGTCTATGCGTTAGGCTGCAAGTTGACCTCGCACGTCTTTTAACATTCACTATGAGCATGCAGGGTGGGGCATAATTATGGTAACAAAATTGTTCTGAAAAAAGCACAATAACAAAACCATGAGTGGGGCCCCTGACTGTATAATAAAATTCGCCAGAATCTGCGTATAATTCTTCGGTTTCGCGCTTCGATACATCTTCATTGGTAAATGGTGTCACCTCATCCGAATCGAGCTGCAATTCTTGCCCTTCACGCCGCCGGTCATACTCCTGCCGAGATATGCCGCATTCTTAAGATGCATGGCCAGGTTCTCCATAGGACTTGGGAACGATGTACAGTTGATGATCTTCTTCTAGAAGGTCGTCCAACCTCGGTGGCTACTAATCGGCGTGTGAGCGTGGTCTGGAAACGAATCCAACGCAATCAGCGAAGGAGCATGAGGAAGGGGGTGCTCTCAAGGACATCCGCAGAAGCCGATAGAGCCGGAAGGACAGTCACTCGAAGCCCACTTCCTGCACGGTAATGTGGGTAGGAGTATCAGCAAATCGTGTACATACCCCATTGTTTTTCATGGAAATGGGGCTGAAAATTGTTGCCAGTTACTACCTCAAAAAAATTGAGAAGGGTCATGGTCAACTGGACTCCTGAGGAACGATTGGATTTTCCAGCAAGACGGTGCACCAGCTCACAGATCGGATTTGGTGCAAAAGTGGTGCCGAGACAACTTGCCCAACTTCATAGCAGCAGAAGACTGGCCTGCTAATTCCCCTGATTTGATCGTGATGGACTACTCAATTTGGTCGATTTTGGAGGAGAAAGCCTGTGCTAAAAACACAGTTCTTGAAAGCTGCCCTACGAAAAGCTGGAATGAAATTTCGCAGGGTGGTCACACGGGTAGCAGTTGTAGCGTATCCAGCTCGTCGTAGTTTTCAAGTTCAAGAGAAGGCCATTTTGAGTGAAATTGTAAATTCTTGTTTGCTATGATATGTATAAATGTTCTTATTCTTTATATCAAATTTTGACTGAAATTGTCGAAGATAGAACAATATTGTTTTGTCACCATATTTACGCCCCACCCTGTAGACATGTGAAGGCGTGTAGCTGAGAGCGTGTTTTTATTCGCGTCATTCCATTAAAAATGACTATTATGCATAAATGGATGAGAAACGTGAATCCTCCGAGCAAAGTGGAATCCACAAGGTATCCATCGGCTCCAATTTACCTAATAAGAGCAATTTCAACTTTACACGCGTGATGTAATTTTGAAATCCCAGACACTTAAAGAGCTGATAAGCGTAAAATGGCTGAAACGGTGACAAGTACCCTAATTTCCGGTAGATAAGCCTGCGCCGATTAGACGTAAAACCACCTCCGCTCGTGCAGTGTTTGTACACCTTAGAAACTACCGTAAATTTGCCTATAGTGGTAACTGGATGCCCTGATTATGAAAATCACTTTCATTTTCAACCTGTTTTCACCAAATTTGGTGTAAACTTGTATATAGAGGTTATTTGGTGTCCTGATTACGAATATGACATTCATTCTCGGCGCTGGCGCTTTGGCGCCTATTTGCTCGTCTGCGCTCTCCAACCGAGAAATATGCGTTGAACAACGTTAATATCGGAAGCGAATGTCATATTCGTAATCAGGGCATGAAGATTACAAAGATTTTGGTGAAAACAAGGGTCGTGACAAGGTGACGCCAACTGGCGCCAGATGGCGCCACCGCTAAAAATGAATGTCGTTTTCGTATCAGCATATCGAATTACCCCTATGGGCAAGTTACGGTTGTCTCTAGATGTACGCAAGTGCACTGCACCAGTGGAGGTGTTTTTACGTGATATCGGCGCAGGCTTATCTACCGGAAATTAGGTGGAATCTTGAAAATTCTTTGGGTTCCTCTGCTATCTCTGTGATTCCGTATTTTTGGCAGGCCGCAGTTGTGTCTGTGTTCGAGTTGATGTTCTTTATCTACTGGGAATATGTGCCAAGTGTTGTCTTGCCGGACTTCTGGCGACGTGCAGTGGACGGCTACTCTATACTCATTTATTACGACGTTCTCATCTTACCTTACATGATATTTAACAAGTAAGTTCTGATATAAAAGCGATGCGCTGTAGGTATATCTTGCTCGAACACAGTTGGTTGCCTTCTATGGATAATAAAATATGGCTGTACGTTCTAGACAGGAGACGAAGGGTCTCCAGAATATGGGAGGTTGACGTCCTAGCGCGATCTACAGTCCGCTGCATTCATTTGAACGACCTAAAACGAGGACACGAATGGCACGTGTTTGCGCCGAAAAATAATAAGGTTCAAGGGTTTGAGAAGGAAGAAAAAGAGGAGTGCTGGGAAATTCAGTAGACGTAACTCGCTTTTCCTCAATTCTATATACAGTGAATATCATGTCAGGTTTTTTTCACATTTACCACCCCCTTGCCTAGTCTAAACAACTCATTCATTTCATCGTTGAGCACTCACTAGGTAAACGGAAATTTTATTAGCTGATTTGGAATTACCCTCCCCTTCAAAAAGCCAGAAATGGTGCGGTGCAGACCATACACCACAAGTGACGACGGCCTCCAAGTAAATCTGGTTAGTAGTGGTTCATAGTGATAGCTGATTTTTGGTAAATGATAGTTGTAATTAGTGACAACTGATAGAATACAACTGCAACAGGCTAATCATTTCATTTCAAAATCTTGCGCTGTGCGCTTGCAAGGGGCATTCCTTCGTTAAGCAGTCACCATATTAGCTAATCGTGGCGTGTATCTTCCACGTCCGAAGACATGAAGTGCAAACAGCCAAAAACACGATTTTGCGTAGTCTAAAAAAGAGGATAAAACGTCGAAAGCTCTCGGAATCACCCTAAACCTTCATATGGGCATGAAAGTTCCGATCTTCCTCTACAAGAACACGAGTAGCTACGGAAGGGGTCGCTGGAAATTGGAAATACTCAAGGTGCAAAACGGCGTATACTTTTTGACCAAGCTATTACAATGCATTCGCAACAGTAGCAGCAGGAAGGCACTAGAGCGGCGAGGGAAAAGTGAAGGGAATCCAAAGTCGTCTAACTTAATCAGTAATGCGACATCAATCTAGCATAAATCGTGATAAGTCCCTCAAGCATACATTTTGTGTATATGCATTTTTGACGCGAAGTGTCTTTACAGGGAAAAGCGTAAGCACAGCGTAATGCTTTTTCAGGAAAAAAAGGTCTCTGTGGTTGCTTGGCGATAGGATTTGTGCTCTAAACTGACCACATGTTCATTGCTTAAACGTTGGAAAAACCAGTAAATCTCTTTCCAGAAGTATAAAAACAGAGATGAAGAAGCTCTTCTGCAAGGACAATTCCACGACACCGCTCGTGGTATCCCTGGAACGACCAAAGGGCCTGCAACGTCAAAGTATTTGAAAAAATTCTGTCAATGATATCTCGCCGTTTCTCGAGTCCAGTTACTAGCTAGCTTTGTTCATTTGCTTGATGTGTCTAGGAGATTTCAGCAGGAACAGAAGTTTGCATTGAAACGTTATTGATTTGCTTTTACTGATTCTTTTGATGACCAATAAAGCAACTCTTCTCTATATTCCTGATTTATTTTCACATTTGAATGCAATAGATATCAAATGTGTGGAAAAAATTTTTTTCAATTGTGGTGAATATTTTACCCCGAATACCCGAGGAGATCTGATCTACCAGGAGCGGCTACTTCCGCATCGGACGTTTCCAGAAACCGATGAAGGTGTTGCATTGGTCAGCTTATTTCTGCTATGAATAAAAAAATTCTCAGTTCTATCAATACCATCAATTTTTTAGGTGGTGCTCCGTAGATACACGAATTTGGAAACATACATATGTGTGGCACTCCGTAATTACCACTATGACAGACTATTGGTGCGGTCTTGATGGTCGTGTTTGGGTGGTCAAGATCCCTCTCTCAGCTGATCCAGGGTCGATGGTGCGATTGCACATGCGTTACAACCAGCAACATTATCTGCCCTGATGAATGGACGGGAGGGCGGACTGTATGGCATCAGGCGCGCTCTATCTGATCGGATGTGAGAGCTACGGAGAGGTATACATCGAAGAAACAGTTTCACGTCAACGCACTAGGTCAAAGAGCATCAAGACAGTTAAAAACATTAATCCCCGGCTAACAGGGGCACGCCGACTGCATTTCCATGACGGTGCGGAGTTGAGGTAACTGTGAGGATTTTGATTAACAAACACAGACCTCAGCAGTAAAACTCATAAAACTCATAGAGACTACACTTAAATGTATTATAAACAGTAATGATGTACGTCTGGAAATAACGATTGAACTCTCAGCGTACCTTGACCTATGTGAGTTCGAAAGCCAGCTGCTCCATGTAGAAATTAGGTCATCGGAGATCTCTGTCAGTCAGATAAGCGGTGATCTAACCTGAACATTTAGCATTTATAGCCAAGCATATGGTTTAACCCTTTCGGCCCTGGCGGTGGCAATTGCCACCACCAAATTCAATTGCTTGCAGTGCCGCTTATCTGACTTGCGGATTTTTTAATCCTGCTAAAGGCTGCTTCAGTCAACCGACCCCTTCCTAATTATGAGCTAACGACCATTATTTCAATTGTGTATTGCTGTTAGTATTACAAGTATTTGTGTACAAGTGCAACAATGAATGGGCGCTGACCCCCGCAACCGGCCAAGTAAGTGTGACTTTTTCTTAAAATACTTGAAGTAGATCCATTCCTTAATCAAAATTATGGGTTATAATGTTATGCAAGATTATAAACTTTTTCGGCATAACTATGAAATTTCGAATTGTTTCGACATAAGCTTAAAAACTAAGAAGGTGGGCCAATTTTCATCGGCAAGTATAACAGATGCAGAAAGAAAAATTTTCACGGCGGAAAAAATTCAGGTCCGAAAGTGTAAACGACTCGCGTCTTCAACAGTTTGGACTCAGAGCTGCAATTGACCTTACGGAAATCTCTTAGTCGTTTACCTTTAAAAAAACCCTGCGCGTGTTTCATTCCCTTTTTGGTGACTACATTTAAGACGTTAGCGACAATGCGATTTTCTGCATGTCTACCGCGTGGGACCGCGCCTCTCCAATATTTTCGAGAAGTGCTGAGAGTCATCTACAACAAAAACGTTTCTATTGCAAGAACTTTGCGAACTTGCACATCTCAAAGGTTTGCCAATCGAGCACAAATCTTTTCATTCGGGCCAAGGAGGGTTCGCGAGCAAGCTAGAAGATCTTCTACTTCCCTCCAAAATCCCTATATGAACAGGGATTCGGATCTTTTTCTGCGAAAGGTCTCATCGGTACTAGGACTAAATGAAAGCAAAAATCAGCTGCATATAATCGAAAATAACAAGCTTCACTTAAAAAACCATTGCCTAGTACAAATAGAAGTAGTTCAGTAAAACAAAGAAGATATAGTAAGAAGATATGCACGGGTTATCGTCATCATAAGTACAGAAATGCCTCTCTGACTATTATGGTGCCGTACTTAAGGGAGAATTTACGATGAAAAGTTAGCTTTTGGGATAAGGGTAGAGGTGGTCAGTGGAGCAGGGATGAAGAAGAAACCATTTGAAACGGCCCGAAACCCGAGAAATGGGACCCCTTCCTTGCCCGTTGATTTGCGCATTGATGCGACTCTCATCGCTGTGCCCTCTTCAACACTACGCTCTCTCTGCTATCTAATCACTCGCCACGTATAGACCTGCGGCGAGTGATTAGATAGTCGGTGGGCGTACCCCGCCAACCGCGCCAAGAGTGAGCCATGCTAGATCGCCGAGGTCAAATCTTTCGCTGCCAATTGCGCGTCGGTCAGCACCCTCAGGAGGTCCGCCTGTCTCCCAACTATGCAATTTTCCCCTTCTTTGACCTTCGTTCTTATCGTGAATTCCTCCTTTAAATTGAAACCAGGGAGGAAAGTAATTCTCGCATGTTACATCCACCGTCGAGCCGCAATTTCACCAATGGGTTACCACAGCTTACTAGGATTTATGCTTGCCGCTGAGCGAGATAGGAATCGGAGAGCTAATGTATAATATATGAGTGTTGATAAATTATTGTACAATAAACATACTAACGAAAGCTTCCACTGAAAAGGGAGAGATGTCTCGTGAGCTTCAAGTAGCAGAGGAAAAGGTTGATGAAAACAGGTGTCGTATTCACTTTGATGGGGTTCAGCGAGCGTAGGGATCTACTACAACAGTCACGCGGTGCATCGGACACGCTGTGATCATAAATTTCAAAAATGTTCCAATTGACCAAATAAGTGGTATGTTGAAGCCCTGCGAAATAAATGCCTTGTTGGAAAGGACCGTGACTCGACTCGCGACTCACGGTCTGATTAGCCAGTGGAATGAAATTGGAGAAATCCTCCGACGTCGAGCTTTTCCCTTATTATTCTTCTCCCGGAGAGATGGATCCCAGAACCATTTTGAGTGTTTTTATGGCATTTCTCTGTATGACGTAGACGAATACAGATTCCCACTGGTTCGGATTTTTCCGCAACATTTCCTCGACGCAGACGTCCGTCCGAATAGGACCATTCAAATTGTAAAAGGTAATATAGTAAAGTTAGAATGAGAGGCTTTTCTACTTTTGGAGGCAAATTCCGGGACCTATCCCGTCTCCAACACCGGCAAAGTGAAATAGCATTGACTGTAAGCGGGGTCAATGCTGTTGGGCGGGTCTGATGCTGAATCTCAAGGCCTTGACCCCAGGGTCAACCGTGCGCTGTGCGGATTTCAAAATTGTTACGACCTCTCTTTCGGAGGGTATCTGTATGATCCTCTGTATTAACCGTTGTGCCTTTTTACATATTTTAGGCCCATCATCGGTGTGTGGGCCGTCACCGACATGGAGAGGTGGTGGACAGTGGCAAGTCCGCGCGCTTTGTCTCGCTCAGAGGAGGGGATCGAGGCACGATTGAAATTTTACACATTAGCTAGAAGTAATCTCCGAACTTTCGTGTTAGTCTAGGCATGGTAGTAATAATTGCAGAGACTTCAACTCTCAGAAACGAACCGAGTTTCTTCAAACTCGCAAATCTCCTTTTTATAAACCGAATAACTGAACCTTGCAGCGTTACTACGACACAAACCTCTTCATCCAAAGAGATGTATCTTTCTTTAAAAGCGG